ATATATATATTTTAAATTACTTAATTTTTAATAAATAAAAAACTAAAATCGCACAATTATAATAGTTAAAGAGCTAAAACTGTTCAATTAAAAATTAAGAGACTAAAATCAAACAATTACAATCTTTTAAGAACTAAAATTACTCAATTAAAATTTTAAGGATCAAAATTGCACAATTACAATACTTGAGAGATCAAAAATAAAATTAAGCTAAAAGTAAAAAACAGCAAAAGTAACAAATTATTTTTTCAAATCACTTTTGCATTAAATTCAATATACGGCAATAAAATTAGAAAAGAAAATCAATAAAAATAATCGAATGATTTTAACGATTTATACCAATCATAAAATCTGCAAACATTTATCGCTTCTTGTCCTTCGTATATCGGCCAAATACTTTCGGAAATACTCGAAAATCGTTCAAACATCATCAATAAAAAGGCATTTTAAAATTTGTTAATCGTCAGCAATGACGATGAACATATAATATATATATCTTTAGTCATTTTTGACTGCGGAACTATAGTCAAAATAACAATATAATGTAATTACACGACTCTAGTATGAGGGTGACTTGTTCATTTTTATAATTACACATTAATTACTTCTTGCAATACATTTTATCTATAACACGTAAATAACAAAATTAACGAGCAAAATTAAAGAATTAATTACCCAAAAATAATTTTGTTATAAAGAAGAATGAATTAATTTTAAAGTTTAATTGTCACTGTTAATGTAAATAATTTTACCGTACTGTAAATTAATAAAAATAAAAGTCTTCTTCAATTAATTTTAAGATAACTATTTAAAAACTTTATGATATATGACAATTGTGATTGGATAATGTTTTTAATAAAAAAAAATATTGAATGTACATTCCAATTAAATTCTTAATTAATTATAAGCTTAACATTTTTTCTTAATAATATTCCAAAATGTAAGAGTTTAAATGACACGAGTATTTCACTAAATATTAATAGTGTCGGACTTTAGTACAAGAAATTAACGCAAAACTGAAAATAGATATTTAACTAAATACTACTATTTATTTTTTTGGTAACAACTAAATACTAATATTTTTGGTAAAGACTAAATACTACTATTTACCAAAAGGTGCTACTATTTTTGGTGTGAAAAAAACAATATGTAATTAAACAACAATATAAAAACTATTTACAAGTTTAAACTTTATTTTGAAGAGGATGGTTTAATTGATAATCAGCCTAATTAAATAGTGGGTAAAATATGTTTTAGTTCTTGTAAAATATTTCAAGTTTAATTTAAATCTCTTTAATTTTTTTTCTATTTTAATTTCTCTAATTTTGAAATACACTACTTTTTATCTTTAGTTTAAATAGTGCTTTGTAATTGTTATTAAATGTTATTTAATATAGGTTAAATACTTTATTTGGTCCCTTATAATATTTTAAAATTTCAATTTAGTCTCACTTTAATTTTTAGTTTCAATTTAGTCCCTAAATTTAAATTACTGCAATGTCGGATCTTCCGTCAAATTTCATAAACGGAGTTAATTTTTTACTGTAATGACCCACCTGACCGTTACCTTGTAGAACAACACCACTCAGAAGTAGACTACGCATACAAAAAAAATATATTCAGCCTGAATATATGTATATTTTTTTTTTTTGTATGCGTAGTCTACTTCTGAGTGGTGTTGTTCTAACGGTTAGGTAGGTCATTACAGTCAACAGTTAACTCCATTTAAGAAATTTGGACGAAAGATCCGACATTACAATAATTTAAATTATTAGGGACCAAATTGAAACCAAAAATTAAAGTATGACTAAATTGAAACTTTAAAATATTATAAGAGACCAAATTAGATATTTAACCTTTAATATATTATAAAAATCAACAAACTCATCATATATAATAATTTATGATTAGACGACATTATAAAATTAGTATATAATTATTTTCAAAATTAAGGTATTAAAATAGGACAAATAAATTTATTAAAAAAACTGCAAACGAATTTTAAATATTTTAGCGAGACTAAAAACATTCACCTTAAATAATTCTATACCTATAAAAGCAATACATCACAGTTCCTTCTCCTCCACGAGATATCCAATTCTTCTAAACTCATCTTGAAGAGTTGGGTTGTGACAGAAAAACATGTCTTCATCAAAAGTCCCTCATGTGGTGCTTCAATCCTCCTCCAACAATTGCAACATGCCAGTGATTGGACTTGGCACTGCTCCATCATCTTCCACAGACACTAGAGAGGCAATATTAGAGGCTATCAAAACTGGTTATAGACACTTTGATACTGCTTCAATGTATGGTTCGGAGCAGCCCCTTGGAGAAGCCATAGCTGAAGCACTTCAACTTGGTATCATAAAATCTAGAGATGAACTCTTCATCACTTCCAAGCTTTGGTGCACTGAGAATTTTCCTCATCTTGTTCTTCCTGCCCTCCAGAAAACACTTGAGTAAGCAAAACTTGTCAATTGTGCACATGCGTTTTCAACGTGAATTACCTTCATGAAAACCATTTTCATCTGCATGCATACACGATTTAGACTTTGATGCTTCAAAGAACCTTTTTAGCCATCATATCCCATTTGAAATTTTGGTTAGTTACAATATCTATTGACTTAGGATTGCAATCACGGTTGTGGCTGTATTACGTTTAATAAAATTGAGGATATATTATAGATCCTAGGAGGCAATTCGAATTGGTCAATAAAAATAGATTTTAATGCTATTTTTTTTCCCTTAGTTTAGTCTTAGCCAATATATCATGAAAATAAGTCTTAGCCAATATATCATGAAAAGTAAAAAGGGTTTGTTGATTATTTTTGTTATCTTCTTCTAAATGTAAAAAGGGAATAAATAAATCAATGTTCCCATATATGTAGTTTTGAAATTATAAAATAATAATAATAATAATAATAATAATAATAATAATAAGCCCGTTATGGAATCATATTTTAAAAATATAAATATAAGATTTGTTTTGATAAATGTTTTTAAAACCACTTCTAAAGGGATAAAAAAAGAAGGGAAGAAAAAATACAATAAAATTAACCGTAAGATAAAATTAATATATGTATAAATTAATTTGTGAAACTCTTGTATTATTTTTCAAGAATTAATTTTTGATTTATGTATAAGTTAGTTTTATATTATGAAAATAATATCTAACTTTCTTTTATTATTTTTTCTCTTAAAAATATTTTTGAAGAAGTTTATCCATACAAAATTTTATATAGATTACATTTTTAATTTATGGGAATAATTACACTATTTTCGCTCAGTTATTTTTGAAAAAGTCAACGCCCCTTGTTTTTTTGATAGATATATATTTTAGTATTAGATATGTTTTGGAAGAAAAACATTTTACGAGAGACATTCCAAGGATAATTCTTTTTCCGAATCAAGATCCCAAGGTTAATTAAGACACCTATAAATTATACTTATTGATAAAAGAACTACCAGTCACTAGAGTCGTGTAGATCAATTACCTAAATGTTTCCCAAGCATTCAGCATAAAACATTCTTTTACTCACTGAGATGCAAGCCTTTAGTGGCCACTTTATTTATTTTTTTTATTATTATTTCTTGGTGGTAATAATGACTTTTACACGTTTTTATTTTGGTCATCATTTCTGTTCGGGTATTGACTAGTACATGCATTTGAATAATACATTCAAACAACTTATCTATATGGGGCCAAAAATTAATGCAGGTCTCTAAAGTTGGAATATTTGGATCTTTATTTGATCCACTGGCCCATTTCTGTGAAGTCTGGACATTGGGAAATGCCTTTTCCTGAAGAAGCCCTAACATCATTTGACTTAAAGGGTGTGTGGAAAGCAATGGAGGAATGTCAAAAGTTAGGCCTTACAAAATCTATTGGAGTTAGCAATTTTAGTTGCAAAAAACTTGAAAATTTGCTCTCTTTTGCTTCTATTCCTCCCTCAGTCAATCAAGTAAATTAAGCTTATAAACTCATATTGGATATCTTTCTATTTTTCAATTAAGACCATTTAACTTGACTCAACTTGTGGTTAATTTATACCATCAAACAGGTAGAGATCAACCTTACTTGGCAACAAAAGAAGTTGAGAGCATATTGTCAAGAAAAAGGTATAATCATAACTGCATACTCCCCTTTGGGAGCACCGGGGTCTACATGGGGTTCCAATAATGTTGTAGACAATGAATTGCTCAAGGAAATTGCAGAGGCTCATGGAAAATCTTTTGCTCAGGTATTGAATTTTTTACTTTAGCTTCCCTTTTCAACAAACGATGAAACTTTTCAATTTCAAAGTTAATGAGTATTTAATTCACATATTAATGTAACCAATGAAAACAAATAATTTGATAATCTTGTCAGTGTAATTAAGTAATTTGTTTCATTTTGAGGAAAATTGAACACAGTAAGGTCCAAACCTGAACAATTTATGGTTGAGAAGTGAAATTGTGTGATTGTACGTAACAAATACAATGAAGGAAAAAGCAGTCAAGGAAAAACTTGCTTTACTCATTTACTCATAGAATTAATCATCTATATATTGTCAGTATAAATTTTTTTACACTGACAATTAATCATATCTTTTAATAGTGTCATGTCAATTGTTTATTTAATAAAATAAAAATAAAATAAAATAATTTAAAAGATATAATTGATTGCCAGTGTAAAAAAACTTTACAACTCTTATCCATATGATATTTATAAATGTATTTTTTTTTATCTATAAAAATTTAGGTGAATTGAGATATTTATAAATGAATAATAATAGGAGTGCATGATGATAAACATTAATTAGCTAATAAATAAAATTAAAAGTTTGACTATGAGCATGTTTAGCTATGACTATATAAAGATTTTAAGGGTTTTTTATTTAAAAATAAATTTTTTATTTTTATTAGAAAAACTCTAAAATGTGCTTCAAGATTGTATCCAAATGGATTCTATATCACATTGCATGTATATGTGTTGCATATCATTAATATATTTTTATGTATATATTGAACCAATACTAATGAAATTCTTTCTGGTGCCCCAGGTATCTCTTCGATGGTTATATGAGATAGGGGTTACTTTTGCAGTTAAGAGCTACAACAAGGAAAGAATGAAGCAAAATTTGGAAATATTTGATTGGTCACTTACCAAAGATGACTATGAAAAGATTGATCAAATCAAGCAACAACGAATGGTCAAGAATGGGCCGGCAAAATTCATTGATGGCATTTGGGATGGAGAAAATTAATGTAGTACTATTAGTGTTATCCACAATATTGTTATGAAGTTTTTGATTTTGCTACAAATTTACTCCAGATATTGTAAATCCTAGGTCTATTAAAATATGAATTTTACACTTCAAAGCGTAATCACTTCCACTATTATTCCCTAGAATAATCTAATAAAAAAATCTTGTTCTTTTGACTTGTCTTCTTTGCTTTAAAAAAAACTTCAAAATGTTAACTAGTGACCTCAAATGTGTTTTTTGTCCTACACTATGGATTTTGTACGAGGAATGATATGATTTAAGTGCCCTTATCTAAATAATCAAGTTAAGTGAACTCATTATCTCTAAGCCTAAGTGAGGGTACAAGCAATAGGAGCCTCCCAACTTTCTACATCACTTAAGCAACCCAAACCTTGTACTTAAGCAAACACTCTCATAAGCCAACCTAGAGGCAAGTGTCCTTCTCGCTTAAGCTACCGTAGAGTCCCACATTTTTCTTTCTTGCTTAAGCTAGCATTTTTACATGTTTAAGCTACCACATTTGGCTCGCTTAAGCTAGCCTAGAGACAAATTTTCCTATGCTTAAGCTAGTCTTGAGACTAAAAAACTCTTCTCGCTTAAGGTAATACTTTTGACACCCTCAATCTAGCATTGCTTAAGCAAGCTTAAGCTAGTACATTCAGGTTGCTTAAGCTTGAACAAAAATTTATATTTTTCACAACTTTACTAAGTCCTGTGGTAATTTTTAGGGGACTCAGATCCTTTCGATTTGTAAATAACTGGAAGATGTTCAATTGAGTAAATATCCACCCTACATTAAAATTGACAGTCCATCATTAGTACAAAAATGACTTTTAAAATCGGGGTTTTAAAATCGGTTATAAGGTTGATGATAGTGTGATGAAGGGAGACACCTAGCCCATGATCTAAGCTCACCAAAGGGTAGACAAAAGGGAGGTTTATGGTGACAAGGGAAGCTAGGCGTGAAATGGTTGTAGGTGGCGGAAGTGTATGGTGAATGGTGTATGAATGCTCAAGGTTGGCTCACTCCAAGTGTAGATGGAGGCCAATCTAGGGTTTCACTCTCCAAGGGTGGAGAATGAAGGTGGCTAGCCGAAACTAACCTAGTGACTAAGGATAGGATTTGAGGCAAAGAAATGCTCTCTCAAATTCATATAATCCAAAGTATTTACAAGGTGTGGGGTGTTGGGTATTTATAGGAGGGGAGGCATCTAGGGTTGCATTTGGAGTAGGCAAATGCATTCCAAATGAAATGCAAATGAACCCTAGATGCAACTTGGTGGCCAAGGATGGAATCTTTGGGTTTAGATTGGCTATATCTAGGTGCATGATAAGACCATGCAACCTTTGCCCTCCACTTGGGCCTAAGCCTTTCTAACACCAAAAATAGACCCAATAAGCACCAAAAATGCGTCACCCTCTAATTAACACCCTAGCCCAAAATTAAAAACCCTAATAATCTAGAGCACCCCATAATACAAGGGTAAAATGGGAAATACAAAAGAAAATAAATTCTAAGTCCTAAACACCCCAAAATACAAGGGTAAAATTGGAAATACAAGTAAAATAAATTCTATGACTAAAATACCCCAAAGTACAAGGGCAAAATAGGAATAAAAATAAATGCTACGCTAATAAGAACTTAGGGGCTAAGGTCCAAACGTGGCCTCACTAACCCATTCCTCTTGCCTCCTTTAATATATCACCTCTTGGTCTTCTCGGCCTTAGTATTATTCCATCAACAAAAATGACTTTTAAAATCGGGGTTTTAAAATCGGTTATAAGGTAACCGATTTTAAAAGTGACACGGTGACAATTTTGTAAATAATGACATTACTTTTAAAATCGGTTACTAATTGATCGATTTTAAAAGTCTCCGACATTACTTTTAAAATCGGTTCTTAAAGAACCGATTTTAAAAGTGATACTTTTAAAATCGGCTCCCTAATTTTGACGTTCACTCCTATGCCTCCATAGTTTTATGAAAAAATCCATTCACTTTTTCCAATAATACCCGTTTACTTATGCAATGAGGTTGGTATATTCCTCGACAACAAAGTTACTCATTATTATCATAACAACAATTGTAATGGAGTAGAGGGTTGAAATTTGGTCTAAAATTCTTTGCATTTTATAGTTTTTTTTTCTTCTCATTTAGTTATTATTTTTAAGAAGAAACTAAACTCTAGAGTGCCAAAATTCTATTAAAAAAAATTCTTACAAATTTTGTGCTAGGTTGCTTCATTTTATAGGATTTTAAAGTATATATTTGATTATTAATAATTAACGATTACTTCTTCTATTTTTTTTGTTCCTTTGTAATACAGTAATAAGATATAACATTATATCCAATGCAATTTTTGAACAACTCAATATGGCCATGAAGCTCTTTTATGTTGGTATCATCCACCTTCAACAAGATGGTTGCCTATTTCATAGTATTCTATCTTGATTAATGAGATAGAAATTATAATAATAGTCGTGCTTATATATCTAAAGATAAAGCTCTTTTCAAGTTTTGATTAATATATACACTGTAGTCAATGAAGGTGAAATCTTAGATATGGATGCCTAATTTTTACGTAGATTATAATTCATAGTTTTTAATATCCCCATGTTCTTTGTTCATATTTATATTGTAGGTTAACTCCCCACACAAAGATCTCAAAAATTGTTTCTTACTTCCCAGAAATTATGAATTTGCAATATGTCCAAATGAAAGACATTGTCCTAAAATAAACCTTTAAAAGGAGTTTAGCTTGGGAGCTTTGTTCCTTTTATGAAATTCATCATTTTTTTATTAGTAATTAGTGAGTACTTCTAAATTCTATTCATGTGAATTTGCTTCATGCGATGTGGCCAATATTTTTTGCTTATGGGTGATGGTATGTGGACTACTTATATTTGATGCGATATTTTGTCACTATTGGTAGGAATACATATGTTACGGAAATGATGGAATCATGCCAAGGCTAAGAAGACCAAGAGGTGATACATTGAAGGACCCAAGAGGAATGGGTTAGTCTTGAAGACCATAGGAGGATTGGGCCTACTTTTGGGTTAGTGGATCTTAGCTCATCTTGGGCTATGGGCCTCTAACTAAAATACCAATACCTCTCATATGATTGTATATATATAGTAGTCCATATTATAGGTATCATATTTTTAGCATTGTATTTTGAGCCCCTAGATTCCGGTTTTTGGCCTAGTAGCCGATTTGGGCCTATTAGCGGGCGTCATGGGCTTTGGGCTTTTCATGACCAATATTGGTCTTGTTTTGCTTGTCTTTTTATTTTAGACATGATTGTATAGGAATTTTAGACCTTGTATTCATAGATCTCTTAGTATAGGAGTTTTTACGTTAAAGGGTTTTAACTTGAAGATAAATGTAATTTAGAGTACATTTACATCTAACTTGAGTCATGCCTTCCATGCATGACCAAATTAGATGCAAATGCAACCCAAATTACATTTATAACTTCATATTTGGGTGATTTGGGTGTGAATGAGAGAGCCAAGACTACAAATTTGAATTTCAAATTCAAATTTGGACAACTAGGATTTAAAGTGGCCAAACCATGGTTCACTTTAAACTATAATTAACCTAGCTTCTCCCACAAGCTTACCTACTCTTATAAATAGCCTGCACACTTGTAGCTGACCATTTTTTGATGATATATGAGTTTTCACTTCAGAAAATTCTCTCAAAGAGTCCTTAGAAACCTTAAGGAAATTCTCCCTCCTTAAGCACATTCAAAAAGGAATCTTTCTTTTGTGCTTTGGAGCTTCTTTCTCCTTTATTAGGGAGACGAACCAGCCACAGCATCTGCACTATCTCACACATATTTGGAGTCTCATTCAACCTTTGTAGCCTCAAAGAAGATCACATGGATTTGGAAGAAGCAAGGAGAAGAACCTTCAATTACTTCTTTATGTCTTGTTCCATCAATTTTGGTATCTAGAGCCATGGTTGCTCTTTGAGGTTCAAGTGTCTTGTTCTTATTTTCGTGTTGTCTCATCTTATTAATTTCTTGTCTTGAGTTCTTTCTTTACATAGATTCAAGTTTTTTATGCTAATTGATGAATATGTTTTTGTCTTGAAAAAATTTGGTTAATAAAATCATTTTACTCTTGTTTCTTGAACCAATCCGAGTGTGCCTATAGGTTCTTGTGATATGTGCTTTTTGATTTTGTTTGAGTCTTCTTATTATTGCCTAATCTGAATAAAAACATTGTTATTAGCATGTGTTTTGATTTTTGAATCCTAAAGTTTTGTCTAGAGTTATGTGTAGTCCTTTTACGTCATAATTTCCTAGATTAGCTTGTTTTGACCTATAGTATTAACATGCTTTGATTTCTAATTTGTTTCCATTGCAATTCTATTTTGGCTAAACATAAATGTGCTTTGAGTACTTTTTACTTTCATTATTGAGTTCATATTTGCTACTAGACCTAGCAAATTCTTAGAGTTAGGTTTCTACTATGTCTCCTTGAATTGTTTTTCAAAAAAATGTCATAAAAACACTTTGCTTCCTAGGTTCTTCTCTTGTCCGAATTTTTTTTTATCACTTTCCATATAAAGAGAAACAGAGGAAAACAGAGGTTCAAGGTTTGAAAAAAAAAGTGTGAAAAAAATTAAAGAAAATGTGTATATGAAATGCTTGAAAAGAATTGTTTGAAAATGATGAGTTCTAGTTTGCAAAAGTGCAGTTGAACCTCTTTGTTTGATAAATCCTCTTCTAATTCTTTTTCACTTTGAAACCTTGTAATCAATTGAAAAAGGCATTTAACTCCTAAAAGTATATAAAAAAAATATTTAGAAAAGAGAATACAAAAAGAAAAGCAAAAGAAGAAACAAATGTAAAAGCCAAGGAGTGGAAAAATTGTATCAAGTTACTCTCGGTTTCATTGAATTTGCAACAACTTATTTTGAGTTTAAATTCTATTTTAAATTCTTTTATTCTTAGATTTTTGTTTTGTAATCCACTCTAGAACCATTGATAGGATTCCTCTTGAAGTGCTTGCTTTGTTTTTGAGCCTTAATTTTAGTTTGTCTTAATTTGTTGGCCTTCCTTCTAGTTTTGTCTCATTAATTCCTTTTGAGTTTATCTTTCTTTAATTGTGCATTTTTAGTATTATTTCTTCTCTATCCACCAGCTACTTTGTGGTGTTTTGTAT